AAGTGAATTTAAATAACAAGAATCCCTAATTAGCCAGATTTTATTGTCATTTTACCTCCTAAAAAAAATTTTTTTTAAACCCACATGGGGCAAAAACACAATGGAAAAGTGTTACAGTAAAAGAAGTACTGGGGTAGGACAAGGATCCCTGGTGGCGCAATGGGTTAAGTGTTGGGCTTCTAATGGAAGATTGGTAGTTCAAACCCACCTGCAGTTCCATGGGAGACTGCTCTTCTAACGACCCTATGGGGCAGTTCCCAGGTGTCGTCTAGGTTCACTTGTGACTCCTAATTGACTCCCTAACAGTGGTTTTGGTACTTTCAGAGTTGTTGTGACGAGCTGTCAAGTCGGTTCCGACCCATAGCGACCCTGTATAGGGTTTCCAAGGAGCAGCTGGTGAGCTTAAACTACCGACCTTGAAGTTCAAACTGCTTTGCAGTCTGGTGCATTAACCCACAGCATCACACCAAGACTCCTCTTTCAGCATAGGACACTAGCAACTTGGGTTTCGGTCCCAAGACTCCTATTATTGGCATCAGAATTTAAGCAAGCCAAGTGATGGACTAAACCTGTGAAATTTTTTATCTTTTAACCTCTATGAGTCTTTGTTCACAATGTTCATTTTCTATTTATTGCTTTTCTTATTAAGCAATATACATCCATTATATACATGAATGCACCTTCACTTTTATAACAAATAAAGTGCAAAATTACAGTACCATTATCTTAGTATTCTGAGACAACTGGGGTTGTAAATATATTAAACATATATTTATTTATTTGCAAATATGTTAAAATGAGCTTTTGCCAAATCTATTAAAATATTAAACATTGAAAATATCTTAAAACAAGCTTATATAAATTTTTATTCCCAAAAGCTAGAAGAGTTTTTTTCTTGTCAAAGCACTTTGGGTCTCTTCTCTTTCATTCTCTCCATCTCTTGCTTCAGACCTGGAGCAAATTAATGATGTCTCTGACCATCAGAAAGAATGGAACCACAAAGGAGGCATGTTACAGATGTGCACACTGAGGCCAAGAGTCTAAGTGACATGTGAAACTTCGTCAGAACGGAATGACAGAGGGAAGACTCAAACAAAAGTCTCTTGTTCCCTCTTCTAAAATTCATTTCTCTCTTTTATTGCTTCTAGAGATTTTTCTTTATTATTATTTTAAAAAATTGTTTCTGAATAAATTTTGGTTAACATGAAAGCTTGATGTAACCAACTTTCCTGGTTAGCAGCCATCTCACTTCACCACATTCCAACCTCACAGCCTGTTACTAGCAGACTGTGGGAAGAGTCGCCTTGAAGCACAGGAATGAGTCATGGTAGTAACCTGTGCCTAACAGAAAAGTACCTGGTCCCATGTCCCTACTACCTTAACTGTGGTATTAGACAACACTAGAAGCTTAATCCACTGAGTTTCCTTCCATATTGCACCAAATGAAGGGACAGCCCTACACATACCTTTAAAAGAGGGCTGCCAAGAAACAATGTCAGATATTTAATAAATATATGTTGACTGACTGATCTTGCTGTAATCAAAGCCTCTGGTTTTCCTGGTGCTCTTATTTACAATGAGATGGGGAAATAACACCCACCCACGCCTATCTCACGGAGAAGCCAGGAAAGAGAACAGGACAATAGATGTCAGATCCTTGGGAGAAGAGCGCTATGCGTCTTCAGAGCACATTAATATTAACCATCCAGCGGAAACACCTGGTCCTTGAGAGGCTCCTTCCTAGATGTTAAGGACTGTTGGGACTTCAATCCATCTATATATGACCTCAGTCCCCAGATCATTTCATCCAATCTTCTAAAACTCTTCACTGAGATTCTCTTCACCAGGTTTGCTTTCCTAAGATGATACCTGGTTCTGATCAAGGTCACTCCAAGGACATCTAATCCAGTTGTTTTTGTTATCTTTTGTTGTATGTTTCCTACCCTAGCCTATCTGAAGGCCATGACATGTTTGCAAAAACAATGTGGGGAGGAGCCTTCTTGTTTTCACTAAATCATCCTGAATGATTCTAATCTGTCTATCGCCTCTTAACTCTCAGATAAACTGTGATTCAGAGATTTCAGATGCTGTGTCCAGGGTTTCATCATTGGCTGCAAAAAGCAGAAAGGCAATCTCTTTTAGATTTTACCTTCTGGTGATCGTACAGGCTGATGGTGTCAATTCTGATGGCATTCCCTTTTCTTTCAAAGTTAACTTGGTTTCTCTCTACAGAACCAAGAAGAGTACTTTATACATTTGTTGTTGTTAGATGATGTCAAGTCGGCAAAGATACCTTATGTACAACAGAACGAAACACTGCCCGGTCCCACACCAACCTGACAATCCTCACTACAGTTCAGCCAATTGCCAACCCACCTCGTTCAGGAGGCTTTTCTCTTCTGAGCCTCCACTTTACCTAGCATGATGTCCCTCTCCAGGGACTGGTCCCTCCTCATAATATGCCTGATGTCTGGCCATCCTGGCTTCTAAGGCTCATTCTGGCTGTACTTCATCCAACACAAATTTGTTTGTTCTTTTGGCAATCTATGGTACTTTTAATATTCTCCTCCAACACCATAACTCAAATACATCAATTCTTCTACAGTCTTCCTTATTCATTGTCTAACTTTCACAAGCATATGTTGTTGTTGTTAGGTGCCATTGAGTCGGTACAGACTCATAGCGACCTTATGCACAGCAGAACCAACACTGCCCGATAATGGGCCAACTTAACTATCACTGCCACGCTTGAGGCTACTGAAAATACATGGCTTGGGTCAGGTGCACATTAGTCCTCAAACTGACATCTTTGCTCTTCAACACTTTAAAGAGGTCGTGTGTAACAGATTTGTCCAGTGCAATACGTTGTTTGATTTCTTCACTGCTGCTTCCATGAGTGTTGATAGATGAGCCGAGTAAAATTAAGTCTTTGACAACTTCAATATTTTTCTCCATTTATCTTGCTGTTATGTATTGGTCCAGTGGTGAGGATTTTTGTTTTCTTCTCATTGAGCTACAACTCATATCAAAGGATGTGCGGTTTTTGGGGTTGTTTTTTTTAATCTTCATTAGTATTTTAAGTCCTCTTTACTTTCAGCAAGCAAGGTTGTATCATCTGCATATTGCAAGTTGTTAACAAGTCTTCCTCTAATCTTAATGTCACATTTAGATAATCCAACTTCTCAGATTATTTGCCCAGCATACAGAATGAATAAATTTGATGAAAGAATACAACCTTGTCACACACCTTTCCTGATTGTAAACCATTCAGTGTTTCCTTATCATGCAGAAACAACTGCCTCTTGGTCTATGTACAGATTCCTCATGATCACCTTCAAGTGTTCTGGAATACTCATTCTCCACAATGCTATCCATAGCTTGTCAAGATCCACACAATTGGAAGCCATTGCATAGTCAATAAAGTACAGGTTGATATCTTTCTGGTATTCTCTGCTTTCAGCTAAGATCCAACTGATGTCAGCAATGGTACCCTTCACTCGACATCCTCATCTGAATCCAACTTGAACCTCTGGCAGTTCCGTCAATGTACTATAGCAGTCGTTTTAAAAAATATCTTTTTACTTTCATGGGATATTGATGATATTGTCCAATGATTTCCACATTCTATTGAGTCACCTGTCTTTGGAATGGGCACAAATAAGGATCTCTTTCAATCAATTGATCAGGTAGCTAGCTGCCTTCCAAATTCCTTGACATAGATGAGTGAATGCCTCCAGTGCTGCATCAGTTTGTTGAAGGATTTCAATTTGTATTCATTCAATTCCCGGAGCCTTGTTCTCTGCCAATACCTTCAGTACACCTTGGACTTCTTTCTTCAGCATCATTGGCTCTTGATACTATGCTACCTCTTGAAATGACTGAACATCAACCATTTCTTTTTGGTACAGTGACTCTATGTATGTCTTCCATCTTCTTTTAATGCTTTCTGCATCATTCAATATTTTGCCCATTGTTACTATTGTTCAGTGCCATCAAGTCAGTTCTGACTTATAGTGACTCTATAGGGTATAGGGTTTCTGAACCATTGGTGAGCTTGAACTGCTGACCTTGTGGTTCAAACAGACCTTGCAGTCCAGCATATTAATCCACAGCGCCACACCAGGACTCTTTTTGCCAATATAATCCTTCATGTTGAAAGTCAAGACTTGAATTTTTCTTCAGTTCTTTCAGCTTGAGCTTTACCAATGGTGGTGGGGGTGGTGTGCCGTGTAGTTGGTTCTGACTCACAGTGGCCCTGCATAGGGTTTCTGAGGCTGTAAATCTTTATGAAGGCAGAAAGCCTCATCTTTCTCCTGCGGAACACCTGGTACTTTCAAACTGTTGACCATAAGATTAGCAGCCTGACTTGTACCCACTACACTACCAGGGTTCGTTGAGCTTTACATATAGTAGATGCTTTAAAGAATACATGCTGTTGTTGTTATGTGCCTTCGAGTCAATTCCGACTCATAGCAACCCTGTGTAGGGTTTGCAAGGAGCACCTGGTTGGGTTGAACCACCAACCTTGTGGTTAGTAGTCCAGTGTTTGTTCTACAGTGTCACACCAGGACTCCAATAAATACATAAATGGATTTTTTTAAAAAAAACTTATTTTTCTCTTGCTAACTCCCAACAGCACTTCTCTGGAAAAGGGCTTATCTTGGTGGTTCTCAAACCGAGGTTGCATTAGAATCACCTGGATGCTGGTTCAAACAGTTTGCTGGGGCCCACTTCAGAGTTTAGTATTTAGAAAGTCTGGGGTGGGGCTTAACAATTGATGGTTCTAAAAAGTTCCCAGGTGATGCTGATATTGATGGTCCAGCAATCACACATCAAGAACTTCTGGACTATCGACTATCTTATTGAAGGACTGCATATGTCTCTCCTTGTCTTAGAAAGCTTTTTCTAGCCTGTTAAGGAGAATTCTGTTATGACTCGGTTGCAGCCACAGCGCTTACTAGAATTCGCTTACTCTTATCTCGTTTGGTTCCTCCACAACCATGTCGGACAAACCCAATAAGACTGGGATTGAGAAATTCAACAAACTGAAACTGAAGAAGACAGAGACTCAAGAGAAAAATCCACTGCCTTCAAAAGAAACAATCGAATGGGAGAAGCATACTGGCGAATCATAATGAGGTACCAATGAGGCAGCTCTGCCCATTTGTAATCTACACTCCACAACCATTGCCTTCTTAGTTTCCTTGTAAGATGCAAAGAGACAAAATCACGTTTAAATGACCGTGCTGCCCCTTTTCACATCAAAGAATCAAGAACTACTGGTAAGAAAGGTCACAGTTGCCTCTCCCATCACTCTGGCAGGCTGGCCAGAACTGAAAGAAACATTACATGTTGACAGAAAAGAAGCCAGGAGGGACAACAGTGGACATACAGGGGGCTTTTTAAAGTTTGTGGGGAAAAAAAGCTTGTGGAAAAATGAAACTGGAAGAATAGAATTTTACACTGAACTTTTTGAAGCCCCTCATTTAGAATAAACCGTAGATTATAAGATGCACCCATGTCGCTTTTTTTGTGTTGTTCAAATGATTTCAATGATCAGAACACACAATTTTTTAAATATGCAAATAAAAAATTGTAAAAATTAAGGGAAAAAAAGAATTCATATATATATGAATGGTGTTGCATTCATTGTCAAAAAGAACATATCCCCATCAGTCATGAGGTACAACACTGTCTGTGATAGGATAATATCCATGGACCTACAGGGAAGCCCAGTTAATACTATTATTATTCAAATTTACTCACCAACCACTAAAGCCAGTGAGGATGAAATAGAAGGATTCCACCAACTTCTTCAATCTGAAATTGATCAAACATTTAATCAAGATGTATTGCTCATTACTGGTGATTGGAATGCAAAGGTTGGGAACAAAGAGGAAGGATCAGTAGTTGGAAAATATGGCCTTGATGATAGAAATGATGCTGGAGAACGCATGATCGAATTCTGCAAAATCAACAATTTATTTATTTCAAATACCTTCTTTAGACAGCATAAGAGATGACTATACACATAGACCTAACCAGATGGAATACATAGGAATCAAACTGACTACATCTGTGGAAAGAGAAGATGGAAAAGCTCCATATTATCAGTCAAAACAAGGCCAGGGTCAGACTGTGGAACAGCCCATCAATTATTCATATGCAAATTCAAACTGAAGCTGAAGAAAATGAAAACAAGTCCACTAGAGCCAAAATATGACCTTGAATATATCCTATCTGAATTTAGAGATCATCTGAAGAACAGATTTGATA